GAGAGGTCTCAAACCTGCAAAACCAGCAAAGCTTTCGCGAACCTGCAAATTCACTTGTAGGATTTCTTGAGGGTTGTTGTGCAGAAATCAGGGATCAGGGTCCGATAACTCGTTCTTATGCCATGTCATGATCCCTGCAAAATAGAGGGCGTCTGACTGGGGCATGATTTGGAGCGCAGTCAGATCAGATTTCCCACCTGTTGTAGCGGGCATCATCGGTGGAGAAGGGGACTCTAGCTGCGCCGCTCCAATACGCGCCGCGTCACACGCCCTATCGCTTGCAGGGATCATGACTGTACCTGAGGATCACATTCTGATTGCACAGTCGGACATTAAGCTCTGCTTGGACACTAAACACTGAATTCGAGTGTGCAAGGGTATTAATCCCCCCCCCCTCCTCCACCGAAGGTGAATGGGTACTCTTTAGGAAAATCCATATATGCGGAACTACAGCTGTAGATGACCCCTTTCGGTTCATTCTCAAGGGTGTTGCGCCAGAAGTAAGTCCCGGGAGGCTCTCCATCCTAATTAATCAACTTGGTGATCGGAGGTTGTGTGGTAACAACTGACTCTTCTTCCCATGCGCATGGTCCTGGGCCAAACGTCGGCTCGACTCCTGCTCCTTCAGCCAACTCTTCAGTAACCTCTAGGGTCTTTTGATTGGTGGCAGCCTTTTCTCTGGGGGCAATGGCACCGAATCTTGTAGTCTGTGCCGCAGGCGACTGTAGGTGCCGAATGGTATTCAAAAGCTACTTCGATGGTGAATTGAAGCAAAATGCGGGGCGCATCACAGACGTGGAACTGATCATGGGCCATGGACGGACTCGAACAGAGCTCAGTGGAGTGCTAGTAGGGATCGGAGTAATGTAATGAACAGAGAGGGACCATCTATAGACCTTGTTTTGCATAAGTGGATTCACCTATGGTGCACCAGTTCCACCTTGGTGGGCTCATTCAGGAGGATAAAGTAGCACTCGAACGGCTTGTTGAGGGTAAAGCTTAGCTACGCGGAAAACGCCTTGCTCTTCTTGTGCTTTACTAATTGCTCAAATTTCAGGCGGACAATCCTATCTGCAACCTCTTCGCCGCTTGACAACACCTGCTCGTATCGGGTAATCAGCTTCGTGCCATTGGAGAAACATTGATCTTGCCCACGAACTCTTCTGGTCCTCGCAGCTGATCACAACCTAATAGAGAAGGTACTCGTTCCTCTAGCTTCTGCTGGGCCTGTCCCCAATTTGGTCCTTTTCAGATTGATGTCAAAGCCTTTCGATGGTAATGACATGCACAAAACTCTCATATCAACAACAAAGAACGTGAAGCGCTTTCCGGAGCCGCCATACTTTCGACTCCATTTCATTCGACACTTTGGAAGCGATCGAACATCACCTGTGAGTCTAAAGATAAAAAGGATAAAGTCTTCGCCGTTGATCAATCCCTTTGTGGGATGCGGCACGCATTCTACTTCCATTCAGAATCGTAGTGGGTTATTGAATGCGATGTGGCCTATACAATGACTTGCGGTGGCAGCCGATGTACAAGTCAATGGTTATCGCTCCCGACGAATTCTTACGTTTTCTCGTAGCCGATTACACACGTCCCCGGAGGTAGAATGCTTGGTTTGCCTGGGCGGGAGCGACCGGGATTCCGAAACCGGCGGACTTCGCGCGAATGGTGAGCGCGAACCACCTTGGTCACTACACCATTCTCCGCCTCCACCTGTGAGTTATCGCGCTAAAAATGAGAGGGTCTAGCCGGTGATGCCAAAGGCAGTGTGCACAGGGCACATCCTGCAGCTGATGATACTTCTTACCTTTCATTCTCGGCGTTTTCAAAAAAAAAGTTTCCAAGCACCTTCTTCCCTGAAAATAGTGCGGCCGCGGGGGGGGGAGGCAGGGGGGTAGTGAGCGAGGCGAAGAAGGCCCTCATGAAGCAGGAATAAAAAAACAAGATTAAGTCGAAGAGTTCTAACAACTGGAAACACATCGTTTTGTAAAGCAAATACTCCCCCTCGCTGGAGTCGCCAACGTGGTGATGTGCCCTGAGTGAGCCAGTGTGACGTTTCCTTCTCGCAGCCTCTGTATGAGGTGAAAGGGGAGGGGGTCCGTACTGGAGCGTGGCTGGAAGGAATCAGCACTAGTGTGAATTCATTAGTGAATTCTGGAAAGGGCATCTTGATGTTTTCGTCGTTTTAGAGGTGTTAATACCTACATGTACTCCTTTTCTCGACTGGTGTGAGGGTTGATGATGGACTGGGATCTGTTACGTCATGAAAGAGGTCGTGTGTAGACGTTCTTTTGAAGGAAGGTCGTATTGATACTAACATATTCCGAGCCCCATTATGTCCCCAAGTTACAACGAACAAGCGGAGTGTCGCCTACCAAGAACTCTTCCTGGCGCCCAGGTTAATCTCAGATCCTTATAGGGAGCAGGACACATCTTCGTTACTTTTTCCATGAGGTGGCCATGCAAAGCATGTCAAATTTCGAGAGGCTTCTCGCCTTTTCCCGTTTCCTATTCCCTCCGCTCCTTCCTCCCCTCCTCTACCAACACTAGATCGCAAAGTGTAGGGGCACAGAAGCGGAGTGTTCTTGAAGAATGAAGAGGTCGTATTCGAGGTTCTCGCCCTTGGTTATATGTGCCCTTCTGGAGGATAGGCGTTCAGTACGCCTACATTTTTGTCTGCGACTTCGAAAGAATATGGACTTCCTAAATAAATAAACCAAAAATGATCGCTTTACTGTTCATTTTCGAAGAGAAATCTATTCTCTAGCGCGGAAATGTGCACTGCATTACCAAGAGCGCTAACCAATTGCATAGAATTTTCCAGAATGGTGGATAAATGGGCAGTTTTTTTCGACATTGGGTAATCGCGTACCATGGCACGCTCCCTCTGAATCGGTGCCGAGATAATGACAGCTGTAGAAACGTTTGAAGGGATATTTGGGAGGGCGGCTGAGAGGAATGGCGAGAGCGGGAGGGGGCGGTCGGAGTGCGAATTCGCTGAGGAAGCACTCAACACTGAGAGACCGCATTCCAGGAACAATCACCTGCGCTCGGCTTCGCGATGACGTAGGCGCGAGCTGAACAAAGAGAATTAGACTTTTCCCAGTGGCTTTCACTAGCAGCTGGAGTGCGAGTTAATAGCTCTGGAGATCAGGGGAAAGGTAGTCTTAAGGTCTAGCAGGTTCCTTCTAGAATGCAATTGGGGGGAACCAGCGTGGGGTTTTTTTTTTTTTCCGATTATTTTAACCCCTCCCCTATGACACTTTCAATTAAAAATTCCACAAAAAATAACAGTATCACTCGAGCTCTACCTTGCTTTGCGTTAATTCTCTCTTCCTTGCAGGGCCTTACTTGCCTCAATACTTATTCACGTTAGCAGAATTGTAATGATATTAACTATGAGCTCTGGTGTTGTTCAGCGGCCCACCGATAAAGAAAAACACAAGAACCCCCTACATGAAATTCCTTTTGATTTTTTTAGCAGTGTAAGAGCATGCAGCGAAAAAACGTTAAGTGTTGGGAAGAGAGACCAGACGATGAGGAGCGAGAGAGTACACAGATCAAAGAGACTAATGAGCCAATGAGGAGCTTGGACGTCTCCTCTAACAAGCGTGGGAAGCCCTGAGTCAAAAATCACCGACATCCTTTAAAAGCACTTCTGAATTGTCAAGGTTCTGCGCATTTTGCATTGTGCACCGAAAGAATACTACAATTTAGGTACACTCCATATCTAAGAGTTGGGGGGGGTACATGCTTCATTAAGCATGAATTGAAAGGCGTTGCTCGTGGGATATAGCCATTTGAGACAACTCTGTTGGGACAAAGACCTGACCACGATTCTCCCAAAACGAAGATATTCCACAAGAAGCACAATCGCCGCCATGTTCAAACGAAGCACGCCGCCACGCCCTCTTTTTCTTCAGGATATGGAGTAATTGTCAGCTGTGCTTCTAGGATAATGACGCGGTGGGAAACATCGCTTCCATCGCATACATGCTCAAACCAAAACCACATTTGTGGCTGATCTTTGTCCAGGTCAACCAAACCACCAGTCTTTTCGGGTCCAGCTAACACAAAACTTACTTGAAGGCACATTCTGCGATAGCGGGATGGGCGGAGACTCACAACTACTGTATCTTTCTCGTTAGCCTTCCCTTCTCCCCATTAGAGTGGCGCATCCATGAATGGACACGGCAGTTACAAGTCTCCATCTTACTCGTCCTGATGGTACTAATGTCATTTCAGCGAACGCCTGGCAGTGCGTGTGCGGCGAGGAATGGCTCGGTGACTGGTTGGAGAAAAGCCGGCGACAGCGATGTTGGCGATGGTTCGTTCTTTCCCACGGGAAACTTTGGGATCTCCCCAATCCCAACACTTTTCAGGAGTTCTTGGATGTCTTGTGACGGCTGCTCGTCGTTGTGCTGTCGATCCCCAGATGGAGACAGACGAAGTGCGAAGTGTGTGGGTGACGGTGACGGCATCAATTTTGGCCGCGGTCTCGCTCCTGATCCTCATCGCGATTGCCTTCCTCTACATCAGCGACGGTAAACAAAGGGTAGGTTTTTCTATATCGTTCCATTATCGACCTCCCCTCTCTACCGTAACCCTTGTAGGTGGTCCTGATGCGACCGTTGGTTCGTCGAACCGACTCTGATCTGCATAAGCTGATTGCTGACGTCGACCCATTAATCGCACGCGACCTCGGTGCACCAAGAAAGGTGACGTCAAATGGGGACAAGAAACGCGTCAGATTCGAGGATAACTGATCCTCTTCACCTCAACCCCCTTTTAGGCGAAAGTCCTCAATTTTGAGTCATTCATTTGTTGTACTACGTGTTCGAATCCCGTTGTTAATATGGTCGAGTATTCGTTATGATATGTCTCCGATAACCGTAAAATCCTCTGCTTTGCTACGGACATTTCTGTACCATGGAACCTAACCCAGGAAATGGGTTCCCTGCGTGGGAACCCAGTTATGTCTCCTGTTTTCAAGTGTCTTGCTCTGTCGAGTTCATGTTCATTTAGTCGCCCGAATTGTGTGCGTTTTATAGATACGGATTGATTTGCAGTGTTATTCGCTGCAGACGCTGGGAAGTTCCAGGGAGCTGGGATTGGCGCGTTGCCAGCCCGTTCTCCACCAATTGTGGAATGTCGACAGGCGACCACAATTGGTGGAGAACAGGCTGGCGCCGCGCCACACCCAGCCCCCTAAAACGCTCCAGCATCCGCAGCGCACAAGATTGTACCCATATGTCACCAATTGTAGATAGTTCAACCTAAACTCTCCAATTACAAATATACTATTAATAATTGATATATTTTAAGTACACTACATTGTATTTGGTCATCTCCCAGGAAGTGTTATTATTAAATATATCAACACAAAACTCGGGTCGAGAGCTTTTGATCTACCGTCTTAGACCCAGTCAATTTTTCCTTTCTGCCCAACTAAGTCCTGCCCTCATCGAAAAATTTAATCGCTTCATCTCTATCTCAGTTCTTTCTCAATCGTAAATCAACCTTTCCAGTAAATTGTAATCCTTTCACCCATTTTTTTTGTAACTTGTCAAAATTGTTTGATGTTTTGTTAATCAGCTTGTTTGCAATGAACTTTTCAGGTATGTTGAATTCTGTATGCATTCAAATACGTCAGAAAATTAAGCAGCGGCTCGAGACGTGTCGTATTCTGAGAGCATTCCAGTGCGTGCCTTTAGTTGCTTTCCTATGGAAAAAATAGGTCATGTTCTTCCAAAGTGCCTCTTTCCAATGTGTGAAAATGTGCTGATGCGTTGCGCTGCGGCGATTGCGCGAAAGTGCCTTGAACGAAGCACCGTGTAGGCGGCATTTGCACCTGAACCTCACTGATTTGAGCAAGAGCGCTACTTGAATGTACAGAGACGACTCTAGTGCGTCTCCTACCTCTGTGGACTGTCGCTTGTAAGGAGGAGGACTAGTGGACTTTCTCTCATGGAGGAGATCGTAGCGACCGGGCGATTTCCGCGGTGTAATGCTGGATCCTGGAACGCAATCTCATGTTTCTAGACTTTAGCGCTAAGTGGCTTCTGTCTTTGTCGTTGGCGAGTTT